CTGGAGCAGAAACAAATGAGATAGCATGTAGAAGGCTCCACAAAGGTAGCTTTCTAGAGGTCAACAAAATGGACAAACTTTAAGAACAAAAGAGAAGACATGAAAAATGTAGCTGGTGACCTTGTCAGGAATGTAGCATGGATGGCCTCTAGTCCAGTTCTCAGAGTCCATGTTCTCATCTGAAACCATATGAGTGCAACCTTTAACCCCCTGCCGTGTGTGTGTGTGTGTGTGTGTGTGTGTGAAAACTGGAAATAGACATTCCTACTGATGATACAGAATTGATGCATAGAAGAGGCTACAATTAGATATTAACAAGTTGTATGGCCTAGAAATAAATTGCTAGAAGGACACAACTTGCCAAAATTGAATTGTGAAGAAATCTAAAATCTGAAAGAACATTTCTGTGGCTTGAATAAGGTCATATACTTCAAGGGTTCATGTGTTGGAGGCTTGGTTCTAAAGTGTAGTGATATTAAGGGGATAGAACCTATATGAAATGGGGTATAGCAAGAGGTTATAGCTGCTCCTTACCATCACTGGAGGGTTCTGTCTTGCCATGTGATGTCTTGCTCTCAAACATGTTCCCAGCATGCCATTTGTCATGGTAGGATGCAGCCAAGGATACCTTCACTAAAGGCTGAATCATTGCTTTTTCTACTGATCTGGAACTTTTAATATCTAAAACTGAACAAAGTAGTACTCAGCCTCAGGTATTTTCCTTAAATAACAGGAAAAAGGCTATACAGACTTAGACCTAAAAAGACAGTTGAATCGTGTCTTCAGAATTCTCCCAAAAAAGAAAAGCCCTATCAAACATCTAAAGAAGTGGTACTAATCCTTTAATTTTCCTCCCAAAAATTGAAGAAAGAACACTTTTTAAACTCATAAACTCAGCATTAATTTGACACCAAACCCAAATAAAAACGCCACAAGGAAAGAAAACTACAAGACAACTTCCATCTCTGATAGGCATAAATGCAGAAATCCTCAACAAAATACCAGCCAACAAAGTTCAGCAGCACACTGAAAAGATTCTTACACCATGACAAAGTGAGATTTTGCTAAAAGATTTGAAACATAAACCAATTAGAAATAGACAAACCAGTAGCCAAAACAAAGTGATTCTACACGCTGTGATACACCTGAAGTAGTTAATAGAAGTAGAAACTAGAATGGTGAATTGTAAGGCACTTGGGAGAGGTGGTGCTCTGTGTGTATAGGACTTCAGTCACGCACAGATGAAATTGTTTTAGAAATCTACATATTATGCATATATCTGCCAGTTCTGTACACTTATAATTTGAAGGGTCATTGCATGTGGATTTTGTAAAAAAAAAAAAAAAAAGCCCAGCACTTGGAAGGTGGAGGCAGGTGGATCTCTGTTTTAAGTTCAAGGCTAGCCTGGTCTACATAGTGAGTTCTCAACTATCCAGGGCTATATAGTAAGCCCTGCCTCAAAAACAAAACAAAAAAAATGATGTTTGTAGAATACCCTAATTCTAATTTATACATGTATATGTGTAGGTGATATATGTGTTTTTGTGTATGCACACATAAGACCTAATAATGACTTCAGCCAAGTTGCACAATGTAAGGTTAATATACAAAATCAATTTTAGTTCTTGTACTAATAATGAATGACTTAAAATGAAATTAAGATCGGAAATAACACCTTTATGGGGAGGGTAATGTGCTTTTCTGGCATCACTAGGCTCTGGGTTTGATTCCCAGTTCCACATACACAATAAAAAAATTACCAAAAAGGATATTTAAGAAACAATGTAATAAAGGAAGTATAAGATTTGAGGGCTGGAGAGATGGCTCCACAGTTAAGAACACTGGTTGTTTTGCAGAAGACCCAGGTTCGAATCCCAGCACCCACATCGCAGCTAACAACTGTCCGTAACTCCAGTTCCAGGGGATCCGACCACCTCTTCTGACCTCCTTGGGCATTGCATGACATGGGTGCACTCACCTATATGCAGGCAATGCACACACATAAAATAAAAATAATAAATAAAATACTTAAAAAACAGAGAACAAGAAAAAAAAAGACTTGAAATATCATTGAATAATGTGAAAAATGTGGGAATAAATGGAAAAGATGTTGGAATATAAAAACTGCTAAAAATTCTATGACATGTTTATTAGATTTTTGTTTCAAAAGTAGCATGTTGAGGTCTCCACGTATGGCCTGACCTGGCATGGACCAGGGAAAGGCTACCCTCAGCCGTAATCAGAAAAGCCCCCTGCAGTGAATAGAAGTAAATGCCAGGACCCGTGGCTACACAGGATGCTGAGGATAAAGGAGAGTTGCAAGTTCAATTGTACACAAGATTGCACCCACCCCATCAAGACTCAGAGAATATTGCGGAAGATAGGGAGAAATATTGAGAAATGCCATCTTTTGAGCATGACGCAGCCATGGCAATCATGAACTCACAGTAGCTGTGAGTCCCAGAACCTACATAAGCTGGGCCCTCCTGAGTCAGCTGTGGATGAAGAAACTGACTGATGATCTATTGGCAACTAACAGGTTCTGGGAGAGAAGGAGGCATAAGATCTAGTTGTATACCACTGGTGAACCAACCCATCAGGCTTTGATGGTTTGTTACAGATCCCAGATCACATGGATGGCCTTTGCTAAACTTTGTGGGACACAAAACAAAACTATTAAATATGGTAAAGAGATTTGTAAGGAAGAAGGGAGGCTCTCAGGGTGGGAAGGAAATAGGGCGTATGTGTAGAGTAGCCAGAATGCGTTGTTTATATGCATGAAATTGTCAGAGACTAAAATTAATAAAAAATGTTGATTGAATTCACTTTCAAATCTTACTACAGTAATCAGAACTACAGTACTGGAAAAAAAAATACCAGATCCGTAAATCAATGCAATAGAGGCCAGAAATAATAATACACTTAAGATGATGGACTTGCAACTAGGGTACAAAACAGTAAAATAGGAACAATGCATTCTTTTAAAAAAGATGCTAGATCCTCTTGATGTCCAGATAGGAGAGAATGAAGTTGCATCCCTGCCTCATACCTTGTATGAAATTACTCAAAATAGACCAGAGATCTGAATGTAACAGCAATGCTATAAGATTCTTAGACAAAACAATGTTTTAATGACCTTAGGTTTGTTTCTTTTGCATTTAATGCATGAGTAGCCAAGAAGAAATACATATCTTAATCAAAATGAAAAAAAATTTTGTGATACAGAGGATACTCCAAGGGAAAAGACAGTCTGAAGGATGAAAGGAAAATATTTGGAAAGCTTGTCTGATATGAGAGTGTGGTATGTCTGACAGTGTCCCCTCTTCCCAAATTCATATTTTGTATTTCTTTTTATTTTATATATATGAGTGTATTGCCTGCATATATGTAAGTGCACCCAGGTCCTGAAATGCCCATGGAGGTCAGAAGAGGGCGTCTTTAGATTCCCTAGAACTGGAGTTATGGATGGTTGTTAGCTGCCATGTGGGTGCTGGGAATTGAACCTGGGTCCTTTGCAAGAGCATCCAGTGCTTTTAACCACTGAGCCATCTCTCCAGTCCTAAAAATTCATATTTTAAATTAGGGGAATACAAATCCAGCTATAGCAAGTTGCTACTTCACACCTGCTAGCACAGCTGTAATCAGAACCACAGATAACAGTGTCTATAAGGATGTGGAGAAGTTGGAATTCTGATATGTTGGAATGCAAAAATAATGTAATCCTTTTAGGAATCAGTTTTAACAGTTTACCACAAAAATGTCGAATTACCATAGTGAATCAACAGTTATGTTTTTAGCTGTATATCAGAAGAATTCAAGGCATATTTTTATGCGAAAATTTCTATAGGCTTGTATGTTATTTACCACTAATGCAAAAGAAAGGTATTGTTATCAACAGCATTGTCCACAGTGGCCCCAAAGCAGATTGTAAATTAATAATCATAAGGTAGTAGATGCACAATGTAATATATTAACCTATAAAAGAATTGAAATACTGATACATGCTTCAACATGAATGAACCTTTAAAATACCATGGAAACCTTTAAATACTGCATGAAAGAAGCTAGATACAAGAGACTACATAATTCTGTTATCCTAGATAGAATGCCCACAGTAGGTTAGTCCAGTGCCAGAACTGTATAAGCCAGTTCATTAGTTTTGCAACCTGAATATGTTAAGAATCTAATATCTAGAATAAAAGCACAAGTGTTATTGAGACAGACAGAGACAGAAGTTGGGGGGGGCATGCAGTGGATTTGAATAGTCATTTTTTTTATAAATAGAAGATACAGAAGTAATAAAATATGCAAATGGCCAAAACATGGCAAGATGCCTTTACAACTTTTAAAATATTACATGAAAGAAACTAGACACAGAAAGTCACATAATTGTTACCCTGGGTAGAATGCCCACAGTGGGTAAGTCCAGAGGCAGGAAGAGTATGTGTAGTTGTCTGATGCCAGAGGGAGGGTGAAATTGGAAGGCATGAGGTTTATTTTGAGATAATGAAAGTATTAGAAGTGGAGGTGATAGTAAAATTACATGAAGATACTGAAAAGATAGTTGAATTTTATCTATCAGAAAGGTTGGATTTTGCTGTAAGTAAATGGTATCTTTTACTTTTCAACCCGGAGATAGAAATCCTAATGATTTTAATAAAGCTTAGTATATAGAATTAGTACCTATAATATAATTGATCTGGTTTAGTTGCATAATACTTATGTAAGTTCAGAGGAAGTCACATAACACTTCTCTTTGGTTTTCTAAACTTTTAAATGAAGGCAGTTTTACTTGAAGTAAAGTTTTAAATCCATGGTGAATGTACTTGGTTAGTTGTGGGAAGGGAGAGGTAGTTTGGTACCAACCCTGAAACACCAGCTAACAGCTTATGGTATGGCTTAAATAGTCTGTGTGTGCATGTGCGTGTGTGTGTATGTGTGTGTGTGTGTGTGCGTGAGCGTGAGTGCGTGCGTGCGTGCGTGTGTGTGTGTGTGTGTGTGTGTTTACGGATTGCTTCACAATTTTCATGTCATCTTCTGCAGGAGCCATGCTAATCTTTGTATCATTCCAATTTTTGTATATGTGCTGCCGAAGCGAGCACTGTGTATGAATTTTAAGCTTACATGTTTATTATTGTGTTAAACAGTTGTGTATGTCTATATGCATAATGCTAGTTATGCATTCTATATACAGTTCTATGATAGTTGAAAAAGAATCCTTTTTTTTTCTTTAGAAAACACCTGCAAAAATGTCTCTTTATCCATCTCTTGAAGATTTGAAGGTAGACAAAGTAATTCAGGTATGCTTACTTTTAATTAAAAAATATTTGATAATAAGTTGTTATGAAGTGAAACGAGAAAACTGCCTGGCACATATTATCTGTTATTTGTGTATTTATACATTTTTTTTGGTTCGGTTCTATTATAGACTTAAAAAGATTAAAAAAAAAAAACTAGTAAAATCTCTCTTATTTTACTACAGTTAGTAGACCTGGGATAGTATTTCTTTCTGTCTGTCTCTTTTTTTTTCTGGTCATTTTATTTAGGTCTTTTTTGAGATGAGATAGTCCCACCTGGCTTGGAACTTTGAATATAGACCAGGCTGGCCTTGATCTCCCAGGGATCAGGTTGCTTCTCTCTGAGTGCTGGAGTTAAAGCTGTGTCCCACGATGCTTGGCTTGATTTATTTATTATATATGTTTTGCTTACATGTATATAAGTACAGCTGTGTGTGCAGTGTCCACGGAAGCCAGAAGAGGGTGTTGGGTCCCCAGATACTGGGTGCTAAGAGCCAAATTTGGGTCCTCTGCAAGAACACCCAATGCTCTTAATTGCTGAGCCATCGCTCCAGTCCCATTTGTACCTACCTGGGTTTATGTCCTTGAATATTCAAGAAGGCAATAGTATTTCTTTAAAATTTATCTTAAAATTCTTCAAAGATAGTTTGGTTTTTCTGGCTAAATTTAAATTACATACAACATGTATAAGTTGATAAAATATACTTCAGGCTTTTCGATAGTCATAGTTTTGGGTAAACTGGTACATTTTTCTTTTGGGTCTTAGGTATGACCGGTCTTTATAGTAAATTTATGCCTCCTCTCTGAAGTTGAAAATGATGGAAATGGGTGAAGGCTGCTTTTAGAAGAGCTGAGTGGGGGAGTGCTTCCAGAGGCGCACGGCGGACATTTCACTTGCAGTGTTCTAAATGCCATTGCTGGGGAGGAAGCAGCCTTCCTACAGGCTGGGTTTTTGTCCTCCTTCCATAGATACTGCTCTGAAGACATGATTATCCTTAAGGAGTTGGGATTAATTCTTGGTATTCTGGAAGTTTTTAATACTTGTTTTAACTGGAGGCAATTTATAGTATATAGTGAACCCATCTGTTTTCAGTTTGCCTTGTACTTGATAGCTTAGACACTCAGCAAATCTTTAGGGTTCATTCTTTTAATTTCACAAGAAAAGCCAGTCTTTGCACCTCAGATAATCTTTTTACTATGGTAAATGTGAGGGCATTCTTTTTGAATTGTTTAGTATTTCACAACTCCATATTCTTAGGTTATTTTTACTTGAGGCTCTGACTTCAGTGTATTAGTTACTTTTCTGTTGCTCTAATTATACACTGTGACCAAAGCAACTTATATAAAGAAGAGTTTGAGTATATGGTTCCAGGGGAGAGTCCATAATGGTGAGGGAGGTGTGGCGGCCAGAGCAGAAAGAGGTGGCCAGAGCAGGAAGCCAAGCAGTCACATCTTCATACAAGCCCAGGGAACAGAGACATGAAATCTGGCAAGGCTTAAGAACTCTTTAAAGCCCATTCTCAGTGATGTACTTCCTCCAGCAAGGCCCCACCTAAAACCTCCCCAGACAGCCCCACCAACTGGGGATGAAGTGTTCAAATACTTGGAGCCTAGAGGGGACATTCTCCTTCAAACTACCATATTCAGTTCACTCTAAAGTGAAATTTATTTTTCTTTTTTTTTGGTCTTTTTGAGACAGGGTCTCCCTGTAGCCCTAGCTGTCCTGGAACTCACTATGTAGACCACGCTGGCCTTGAACTCACAGAGATCTGCCTACCTCTGCCTCCCGAGTGCTGGGATTAAAGGCGTGCTCCACCACGCCCAGCTTATTTCTTTTTTTAGAATATTATTTTTACTTTATGTGTATAAGTATGTAAGTGCACCAGTGTCATGCAATGCCCACAGAGGCCGTCAGATCCCTGGAACTGGAGTTATGGACAGTTGTTAGCCACCATGTGGGTGCTGGGAATTGAATGTGGGTCTTTGGCAGTAGCAGCCAGTGCTCTTAATTGCTGAGCCATCTCTCTAGCCGGAAATCTATTTCTTAATGATTGATTAACAAACAGAAGTCTTGTTACAAATCTATGAAAAGTCTTAAGCAGCCTGAAGAATATCAGCTCTTTAGGTGAAGTATCAGTCTCACTCTGGGGTGAGAAGAGAAGGAAACAGAGCAGTGATAGCAACATAGGTGTGGCCGGGGGTATTAACCTGGTGGAACTGGATGGGGAAATCGCTCCATGGACAGTTATTTTTCCAGCATCAACCCAGGATGGGTGTTCAAATGTGGCTTGTAAAGTCTGAAATCTACAGTTGAGCTGTCAAGACTTGGATGATTCTAAGTTTTAAATGGTGTGTTTGTTATTTTAAATATCCTGTCATTTCTTTCTTTGGTGTTTAGTCATGTTTCCCCTGTGGTTTTTATCTCTACAAAGCTCATCTGAAGAAGCACTGTTTTCTTTTTATAATGCTTTTATCTGAAAAATTTAATGTAGAAGCCATTAATATTAATTACATCAGTGCATTAAAAAGGTTGCACACAGATTCGGAAGAGCAATTTTTCTTCATGTTTTTCTTACCAGCTTTCTATGGAATTAAATTAACCATAGCTGGCTCTGAGCAAAGACTTTGGATTTTGAAAACACAGAAAACAGGTGATGGTGCTGACAGATGCTATCCTGCCGGACCTCTTGAAGGAGAAGCAAATTTCCTTTAGAGGACCAGGGAGAGAGCTGGCTGCTTGGAGGTAGAACAGTGTAAAATGTAGACCATACTGGCCTCCATTTCACAGAGATCCGCCTCCCGAGTGCTGGAATTAAAGGCATGCATCACCATGCCTGGCTCTTGTAAATTATTTTATAATAGCCATTAGACTTTGGCTTTCAGCACCACATAATGCCAGAACCTCTGTCCATTCCGAATACTAATGGAGCCTGTGGTAAAACAGTGATACAGAGAACCAGTGCTTACAGTTTCCCAGTAGGGTGACAAGCTTGACAGGTGACTCCAGGGCATCTTTGGGTTTTTGCAGGTGCTTTCTGTAAATGGACAGAAACGGCAGACCCTGGCAGTAAGTGCCTTCTTGGTGGGGTGCCCTTTCCCTCCTCTTTTCAACAGTTTGAGATTTCAAAGTAATTTTGAAGTAACAGTCTTTCAGCCCTTGTTACATCTTTCCTACTTATTTTGTACTATAAATTACATGATTAAGCTCATGTAATTTTGCAGAGAGATTTTATAAGAGATATTTTACATTAAATAGGAACAACAAAGTCAAGTAGAAAATACAGTATACATGTGTTCCTGCTCATGAGCGACATCTACCAAGAACCAGAGCGATACATTTATTTGTTAGCAGTGGGTGAATCTCTACCAACCTGTCATTGTTACTCAAAGATCACAGTGCCCTTAGTGTGTCATGTACCCTTTGAATGGGAGGGGCTTTTTTGAGACAGGGTCTCACTGTGTAGCCCTGGTTGGCCTGAGCTTGCTTTGTCGACCATGTTGCCCTGGCAGGTTTCAAACTTTTAATCCTCTCACCTCAGCTTTCCAAGTGGTCATAATTCCGGGTTTGCACCACACCTAGTGGTGTGTCATATACTTTGTGGGCATTGACTAAGGTTATAAAAAGAGTTCCCTTTGTGATACCATACCAACTATTTTCACTGTCTTAAAAGTCATTGGATTTTTACCCTCTACATAATATTGCTTTTTCCAGAATCATATAATATGAAGCCGTTTCTTTTTTTTTTTTTTAACTTGGTAAATGTATTTAAGTTTGTTCCATGTCTTAAATTTTTTTTTTGACTTATTTTATGTGTATGTGTGTTTGGCCTACATGTATGTAAATGCACAAATGTTCAAACCCAAGCAGGCTTGTCAGATACCCTGGAACTGGAGTTATGTTAGCTGCCATGTGGGTGCTAGAAATTCAACCCTGGTCCTCTGGAAGAGCAGCCAGTGCTCTTAACCACGAGGCATCTTTCTATGTCTTTTCATGTCTTGTTAGCTCATTTATTTTTAGCACTGAATATTTTTCTAGATGATTTAAGAAAAAAATTCCATTCGCTGCTAGCTCCTTTTAGTTACTGTTTGGTAGTATAACTAAAATTCACTTGGAATTTATGGAAAATCATCTACAATCATAAAGATTTACATACTTTCTGATTTAATTTACAACGTATAACAAATTATTAAATACGTTTTCAAGAATGCATCAATAACAAGTATAGTACATCAAAACATTTGTACTCCAAAAGAGCTTAGTGCCAGCCAGACTGTTGTAGGGTATGCTAATTTTAAACTAAGCTTCATCTCTTCTAACACTGTTGAGACTACCCTTGGTATTGGTTTCAGATCTAAGTCAAGTTAGAAGTATAAACTTTATTTATTAGCTTGACACTTTTCCAATTAAGCAGTAAATGATAATTATTGATTGATCATAGAGCTTACTACCAAGCTTGTCTTTAAAGACCATGGCTAGTTTAGAAAGTCACGTCTGCAAAGGACTGAGTATTTCTATCAATGGGATACTTAATTTGCATTGTTATGGATCCCCATGAGAGGGCTGAAGCTTACCTGAGCATGAGTGACATAATATTGTCAAAGTAATTTTGGCACTTGTTACAAATTACATTATTATCTACATCAGTTTTATGCTTTTGGCATAATTAATAATGAACCTTGCTTGCTATATGTACAACTATTTTAGTGGACATGCTGAATTGAAAGTGAGAGCTAAAGCAATGTGAAGTGAATTGTTTACATGTTTTCTGACATGTGACATAAATATACTTGAGCTTTTTCCGTTTGCAAACAAAATGTGTTGGGAGTAATTTATGAAACAGTGAACATGAAATCTGACCTCATTTAGAATGCTCTTTGAAAACTTAGATAGGGCATGAGGTGTAGCTCCGTTGGTGGAATGCTTCCCTAGCACACATGAAGCCAGACATGACACATGAAGCCAGGCATGGTGGTTCATACTTGTGATACCAGCACATGGGACGCGGAGGCAGGAAGATCAGGAGTTCAAGGTCATTCTCAACTAAATGGCAATTTTGAGGTGAGACCATACAATTCATTTGCAGTAGCATTATTAAGCACTAATTATAAGACATTCAGTTTTTATGATAGTCTTAAAATACTTAGAATTTGAAATATATTTTTGATTTGCAGATTTCTTTTGAAAACATGATTGCTGAAGTGTTTAAAATGAAACTTTGAATAAAGCATGTTTATAGTTTCTTTTGGAAAGTACTAGATTTGCCTTGTAAATTATATAAGAAGGTTAAGTATTTTTGGTATATTGCTAGCATTTTCTTTTCTTTTCTTTTCCAGGCTCAGGCTGCCTTTTCTGCCAACCCTGTCACTCAGGCAGTTTTGATAGAAGCTTCTGCTCCCATTGCTCATGATGGAAGTAGGTTATACTTCGGATTCATTTTCTTGCAACAAAAATATTTATAAAGCTTTCTTGTGCTGAAGCATTGAATCGAAGATTTTGTTTTCACATATCAAGTACATTTGTGGTTAAAGGTCTAGTAGCAATAAGAAAAAAAGTTTATTTAAACATTGAATTGGCTGAATAAAAAGGCAGGGAAGATGGGTTGAGTGAAAGTATAGACTGCCCTAGGACAGAGTCCCCAAATCTGGATTTCACCAGAGACAGAAGGAAAAACTAGAGGGGATAGAATGGGAATGGTGGTGGCTTAGATCCAAACATCATATGCATGTATGAATATCAAATAAAGTATTTAGTAAGGGGCTGCAGTGATGGCTTAGCAGCTGGGCGCACTGGCTGCTCTTTTAGAGGGTCCTAGTTTGTTCCCCAGCACTCATATGGCAACTAATAACTATCTGTAACTCTAGTTCCAGGGAATCTGACGTCCTCCTCTGACCTGCATGCATTGCACGACATGGATGGTGTACTTACGTAAACACATGCAGGCAATACACTCACATGTTAAAAAAAATACTTAAAATGTTTAATAATAATAATAAATAGCAGCACTTGGGAACACTTTGAGAGGCAGAGGTAGGTGAATCTCTGTGGGATCAAGGCCAGCTGGGAATAGAGAGAGACCTTGTCTCTAAAAACAACAAAACTTCAAACCATGAAAACCCCCCAACTACCCCCCTTCAAAAAAAAACAAAAAACCTCTCTAACCCTTTATTTAATCAAGAGTGTGAACCTTGAATATGAAGGGTTGTTTTTTTTTTTTTTTCTGGTGGTTTTGAGACAGGGTCTCCCTGTAGCCACAGCTGATCTGGATTCCCTATGCAGACCAGGCTGGCCTTGAACTCAGAGAGATCTGCCTGCCTCTGCCTCCCATGTGTTGGGATTAAAGGTGTGTGCCCCCATGCCTAGTAGAAGATGTGTTTTAAAGAAATATTTATTTGTATGAGTGTCTTGCCTGCACGGAAGTGCACCATGTTTGTGCAGTGCCCATGAAGGCCAGAAGAGGGCGTTGGATCCCCTGGAACTGGAGTTACAGAATGTTGTTAGGTGCCCTGTGGGTGCTGGACACCAAACCCACATCCTCTAGAATAGCCAATGCTCTTAATCCCTGATCTATCTCTCCAGCCCATGAAGATGTGTTATATAGCATAATAAAAATTTATTTTAGTTTGACTCAAAAATCCTTAACAACAACAACAACAAAATAACCTTAACATACAGTTGATTCATACATAGGGAGAAAGTCCTTATATGGGAACTACAGTTTTTCCTGAACATTGCTACTCTTGAAGTTTAAAAAAAAATTCCCTCTTATTGTTACCAGGGGAACTAGAAATTCCTTTCCTTCAGAGTTGAAAGCCTTTACGTCATGCAACTTAATATACAAAGTAAATGTTTAATTTTAAGTTTTTGCGAACTTTCATCTTCTTCATTGCTGTCTCTAGCATTGTTCCTTTTAGAGCATCTGCTGTAAATCACAAAGAGATCTTATAAAAAGCAGCATACTACTGAAAAGATAATTAATGTTGCTGTTTAGACACACTGTAGGAGTTCATTGAAATGTGGCTATCATGTGTTAGAGGGTACTAAATAAATTTATAAGCTTTGAATTTTTTTTCTTGTTAGTTGAGAAAAAGCATTCCATAGCCATATGGAATTCCATAGCCAGACAAAAAATTTTATGTTTGTACTATGTACATGCATAATTTTTTTCTTGCTATTTCTCTTTTATGCAATTTTATTTGTTTAATATTTATTATTTTTATTATGGAGTGAGGGAAAAAGCAGTAGACACACATTTTGTTCAGTTGTTCTGAACTGAACAGTTACTACTATACCTCCAAAATTCCTAGAGTAGATTTAAGAAACAAGAAAGGGCAAGATTTGTTTGGAAAAATAGTTTCTTTTCATTAATCATCCCTCTGTATTCATTGTTTCTATTTTAAAATGCGTTTAAATTTTATGTCTGTACACATCTCAGGATACTAACTTTACATGATAGGCCTTTAACACAAATGACAGATGTATGAACTCCAGTGGGGGGCTATGGGAGGATACCAAAGGGGAAGGAGGTATAAAGATGATTTTATGTATGAAATACACAGAAATTCAATTTAAAAAATTTTGTGTCTGCACTGTGAGCATGTATAATTTTTCTTGGTATTATTTATTTTAATATTTATTATTTTTATCTTATGTGTTTGAGTGTATGGCCTGCATGTGTGTAAGTCCACCCATGTTGTGCAGTGCCTGTGGAGGTCAGAAGAAGGCGTCAGATCCCCTGGAACTGGAGCTAAGGACGGTTGTTAGCCTCTATGTGGGTGCTGGGACTTGAAGCCCCGTCCTCTGCAAGAACAGCCAGTGCTCTTAACCATGCATCTCTCCAGCCTCTCTTGCTATTCCTTAAAAAAAAAAAAAGTACCTGTTAACAGAGCATTTGATAATACTAAGTATTAGAAATAATCTAGCAGGGACTTAAAGATGCAAGAGGATTTGCATGGGTTTCCTGTTTAATGAACCATCTTATATTATTTATTTTGGCTTTTTGAAATAAAGTCTCACTATAGAGTCCTGCCTGGCCTCAAATTTGTGGTCAGTCCTCCTGGTTCTGCCTCATGAGTTGAGCACTGGGCTCATGTGGACATACATCCACCACCACAGCCACCTGTAAAGCATTTTAAATACAAGACTTCTGCAGATTCTGGTCTCTGTGGTGGGTCCTGAAGCTAATGCCCCATGACACTGAAGGACGACTGCTTTAGAGACCTGAGATTGTTTCAGTTCAGCCACATTTATATTTTAGGACTTTTACTTTAAAGATTTTATAAGTGGTCCCATTTAATTATGGTAGAAGTGAGGAGATGCCCTTCCATTTTGCTCCTTTAAATTCATCCAGAATTTTGTACCCTAAATACGATTTTTTAAAAAAGTCCACCGTAAGTTTTCACTTTGGATATTCTGCCAATGCCCTTTTCTTAATTGATTCATTTATATTAGATCTCTATCCAAGACTGTATCCGGAACTCTCTCAATATATGGGACTGAGTTTAAATGAAGAAGAAATACGTGCACATATGCCCATGGTCTCTGGAGCACCAACACAAGGGGTATGTGTGGTGTAATTTTGGATTATATAAAGTGTACTTTGTACATAGGTTTAAACTCTGATTGTAGCTAACTGGTATATTTATACCTTTAGCATTGACCTCTCCTCAGATCTTGGATTTCTTTCTAGACATATTACTTACTAAGACTGACCTCTGCTTTGTCTTCTGCATTTGTCAGCTCTCGGCACCCAGCGTTCTCTGCCATGTTTTCAGATCAGTTTTGTCCATTCTAGTTGTATAACTTCATTGAGTTCTGTACTTCTAACCTAGACTAGCAGTTCTGTCATTTATCCTGTAGTAATTCTTAGTTCAAATGCTATTATATTGCTGCTAGATTAGTCATTCTGCAGTACATGTCTGTCACATCATTTTTTCGCTCATAATCTCTTTAACATTCCACTGAAAGCCAAGTTCTTTTAATGAGAGCGTGATTCTAGGCTTAACTATAACAGATCATCAGCCTTTTATCAAAGTTACTATTTTAAGACCTTTATAGCACTTACTATAATTATGTTGCATACTTCATGACTGAATCAATCTCTGTCTTGTTGCCATAAATTCAATGCTTAATACAGTATCTGGCATTCATTTACCAAATATTTATTGAAAACTTACTTATATTAGCCAGGATCCTGTTGAGAAAACAAATAGTAGTATTTCAACTGAGGCAATTTAAGAAATTAGATAAGAGTTCAAAGAATCCAAAAGGCAAAAAACAGACCCCAGATAGACTGCAGAAAGTTAGCTGCTATTCCTAGGATGGGGTGGAAGTGCTGGGGGAACAGGAAGCACAGGTCCTTGATGGAAACATGCTGACAGAGGAAGATGTAACTCGCACAGGTGAAGCCCCAGCACCAAGCAGAGTGGAAGGCGATGTGCAGCGGATTGACAGTAGCTTAAGCCTGGGACCACCTTCCTCTTCACTCGAAGTTTTGTCCACACACTTCCACAGGGATTTAAATGTCAAATGACAACCAAATCAGCTTTGTATTTCTTCTTTGAAAGTTTCAGGGTTTTTAAAAAATAAAATCAAAGTTCAGCAGTTTTTTAAAATGAAGGGTCTCATAATGAGTATTTTAGTCTTTAATCACTTGTTGACAAATTTTAAAAATAAATTACTCTTGGGCCGCGTGTGGTGGAGCACGCCTTTAATCGCAGCACTTGGGAGGCAGAGGCAGGCGTCTCTGAGTTCAAGGCCAGCCTGGTCTACATAGTGAGTTCCAGGACAGCTGGAGCTACAGGGTGACCCTGTTTCAAAAAGACAAAAAAATAAAAAATAAATAAATAAATTACTCTTAACCCAGAAGTGTATAAAATCATGCTAGGTACCTCTGGTATAAATGAAATGAATGACTGTCACTCTTTCAAAAGGGATGATAACAGTCTTCATGGTGCTGAGTAATGGTCACAGCACTGACTATTGTGAGATAAATCAGTCCCCACCAAGTGTTCATATTTCTAGATGAATAGTTTTTAATCTTAAAGAAAAAAACGAAAAGTCAAGCAACACTCAGTTGTTTTATGACAGGGATATCTTCTGAGAGATGATTCATTAGTTGCTTTCAGTGTTGCATGAACTTCATAGAGTTTCCTTGTGAAAACTCAGTAGACAATGTGATCTTTCCAGACTACACATATGTAGTCTCTTGTTGAGTGGGACACTGTAAGCAGCAGATGGTAATACTCAGGAGATGAGTGCCAGTTGACTTGAGAAGCAGGAAGCATAGAGCAAGTCACTGACTGTACTTGAGATGATCCTGTGGGAGGGAGTATATCACCAGGGGAATTAGGAAGTAAAACCAGTGTCATTACTGTAGAAATCAAACTTCATCTGATGGAATTTATTTAAGGACTAGTGTTTGGAAAAACAACTGAATGTGTTCCAGTTATTAATTTAGGTTATTTTTAAGGAGAAGATTTCTAAATACTGACACATCGTACATTTTTTTTTCCAGCAGTTGGTAGCAAGACCTTCCAGTGTGAACTATATGGTGGCACCTGTAACAGGTAATGATGCTGGAATCCGTAGAGCAGAAATCAAGCAAGGGATTCGGGAAGTCATTCTGTGTAAGGATCAAGATGGAAAAATTGGGCTGAGGCTTAAATCGATAGAT